GAGGTGCCGGGAATGTGGCCAGACCACACAATCGTTTAATCACGTTACAGTGTGCAACCACTCGCTGTATATTTTGGGTTACGTCGGTGATAGCAGTTGTTTTTATTTTTTGTACTTTGACTGAACGCACCGTTCCCGATAGTCCCGGCTACAGCATTTTGGAGAAAAAAAACCTCAAAACAAAACAAGAGAACTCTTCTTGAAGGTTTTCCAAGCTACCTTCTGAAGTGAAATTCAAATCCAGCGGTACTTGATCAATTGAAATAACTCAATGTTTTTGTTGGTTCAGATCATGCGACCCAACATGGCATTTTGACCGACCATCACATCTGCGACCAGATGACTTCCACCTGTTCAGCAAATTAAAAAATGGCGGCAAACCTAGTTGCAGACGATCAGGAACTCCTGAAAAACGAGTCGCACGGCGCCACGCGCTGCGTCCAGTCGTGTCGCCGGGTGCGCGGCGGACATTGGCGAACGCATTTGTTGCTTTTGACTTCAAAAGAGGGACACTTGTGCGTATTAGCGTTGGATTTCAGCGCGGCGCTCGTCGCCGTAATCCCGCTGTTGACTCGCACGCTAAACCCCGAGTGTGTTATTTTTGCTCTTTTTAAGGGAGCCCCTTTCACCGCATAATCTCACTTAATCTAATCTCCCCCCCCCCGCTATAATAGAGCGGTGATGATGTGACTCTATAGTAGGGGGAGCTTTAGCGCGGATCCATACCAAACAGACTAGCGTGCCGCTCGCCCCTCCGGCAAAGCTCTTGTGAAAATGCAAGTGACCTCTGCGCCCCCTTGTTAGTCCCGACAATGGAGCTGCCCGCTCGTACAGCTGCAGCCGTGCCGGAGGGGGAACACCAAACGCACACGCTTGCGATGAATCGTAGTCAACGCGGCAGTACCGACCGACCGCTCCGTTGGCGATTCCAGCTCGCATCTCAACTTATGCTAAGGCTTGCTTTTCAAGTGCTTGAACGCAGTTGACGGAGACGACGTGCGGATGCGATGTTGACTGCTTGACCGAATTAGCAACACAGGGCTTACTTGTTCCCACTCCTTAATTGCAATCATTTGCCGAGTTGGAAGGCAGACTTATGGGAGCGTTTGGCGCTCATTGGACTTTTTTTGTTGTTGAAAACTCAGCCCGCAAAGTTCAACGGGTAGTAGGCTCGTTGGGGCCGAATCAACAGCCCTGACGACGGTCGCTTCTTCTTACAGCCGGCTTAGTTCAAACTGAATGAACAGGCTTTGCAGGCACGACTTCTTTAGCCGGCAGACGAGTTGAGATTGACTCAACGGGCCTGACAACCGCAAGTTCTTTTCGCTAACCCAACTAGCCGAGATGGAATGGACGCCGCAACCTCACAATTACTTTTGTTTAAGCAAGCAAACGAGTTGAGACCGAATTAATGACCATGAACCGCATCAACGGCAATTAGCGCCAACCCTTCTTTAGCCAGCTAACTAGTTGAGACGAAAACAACGGCTGTGACTGACGCCACTTCTTTCGCCGGCAAACTTAGATGAGACCGATTCAACCGATTCTTCTTTAGCCAGCTGACGAATTGAGACGGTCTCAACAGCCGTTAGGCACGACTCCTTTACCCGGGGACAAAAATGTGGTCATTTTCGAAGTGGCCTTCGCTTTGGCTGTTTAGCTCCGAGTTGTGTGCTCCGTCCGGCCACTCTTTCCTAACCGTCTGCTGCTTCAAGCGTCAGTCGTTTGTTCGTCATCCACACCACGGTACGAGCGCTGCGCCCATGCCGGCCGAGCGGGGAACAGCGAGGACGACCGCGACGCAGCCCGAGATTTGATTGACGCTGCAAATGTGCTCGCTGATGAAATAGTGTCGAGGTCAGACATGTCCCAAACAAAAGTGGAGGTGTCTCATTCCTCCTCGGTGTCTGTGTATTTGTGATGTTGGAGAGTGACCCTTGTGAGTCGCCACTTGTGGTAGTTTATGACTCTTTAGTGATGGGGGGGCAGGGCACCCAGACGCAGTTCTTTCTCTGATCTGTCCCCATATTAACCCCCCCCCTCCCCGCCCCTCCATGGAAAAAAAAAAAAGTTTCTCACTTTCTGTGAGGAGAAAGAAGATGAGGCGGCGTGGGAGACTGCTTCACGGGTGCAAGCCCTCAACGCAACATGAATATTTAACGCCCGCATTTTAACCAGAGTCATAAAATCCGAGCGGATGCGTTTGGGAAGTGAGCGGCAAAGTCTTTATCGCGCTTGAGAGCCGCAATCAAATATGTCTGGCTATCTGCATTTTTAAAAAAAAATTTTTGAACGCTTCAATCTACAATATGACCGAGTCTTTATCCAGCGGAATTATTGAGAGTGAATCACCGCAACAGCCTTTAAAAAAAAAATCACCCCTTGTATAGCAAGCAGACAATTTGGGAGCGCATCAGCATGACAATCGGCTCGTCTTTTGCAAGCAGACTTTGATATGACATCAAAAGCGGCTCCAACCACCGACAGGCGACGCGACCAACACTTTCTTCTCTACGAGATTAATACTAGCCCGTAAAATTCGCCACTGGACTCTTTGAATCTCATGCGCGTAACCCCTTTCTGAAACCCGCGTCTCACTGAGCGGCGGCGGTTTGCGAATGGGTGCGCACATCGCGAATGTTGAGGAGGGGGGTGGGGGGGTTTCCCCAGCAAGGTCGCAAACGTTTGCAAAGGCAAATCAACCACCGTTCTGAGCAATCATTACGGCTTCAACTTTGCAATTTGTTCACAACCGTCATCAAGACTGTGGCATCCAAAGCAGCCCCCCCCCTCCTCCCTCCTCCCCCTTCTTCTTTCTCTTCTCATCTTGTTGCACATTTTTAAAATTCTGTCCCAGCCTCCGCCAAGGCAGCCTAGTAGCAGAGAGACACCGAGACGATTGTGAGGATTGATAACCCCTTTTTTTTTTTTTTTTTTTTTTTTTTTGAGCGCGGCAAGGTTATTTCGCCGGCTGGCTTGGCTGCTATTTTCAACTGAGTTAAACGCTCTCAAGAATGGCAATCAGCGCCAGCTTTGTCATGTTTAATAACGCCGCGTAAAAAGGTCATCATCACAGACCGTTCGGCATCGCTGCTGCTGTTTTGACTGGACGATCCTCAACGTGGCGTTCAAAGGCTGGCCGCCGCGGCTTACCGATGAAGGGAGACGCCGTGCAACCTTTGCAACCCCCAACGAGAGGTCCAAAGTGCCGTCGTGCGCACGGGGGATGGCGGGGGAGGGGGCGTAGGCCCAACCGACAACCGTCAAAACCACCGCTTCTTTAGGCAGCGGGCTCGTTTGGACCCAATCCTCTTGTAGGCTTTAGAGCGCCTCGTTGTCCGCTTGGAGTGCGCGGAAGAGCAAGGTTGGGACTTGACAGCCAGAATCTGGACCGGGGCTGGTGTGGTGGGTTCAGAACACCTTGTAGGCGTAAGATGCTAGCCCAAATAGCATCCATTTTTCCAGGTTGAATTTGATGGTTGAATGGGCGGACGGGGGGGGGGGGGCTCCTTCACCCCCATTTTATATACTTGGCATTTCTTTTTAATCCTTTTGATTTGAGCGGGTGCTGTGCCAAGTGTGGAAGATGTTTATTTTCATTGACAGTGATTTCAACCCCCTCCTGTTTTGTCGGTGGCAAATGACTCCTTCACCCCCAAATTGTTTGAGGAGCCGGGAGGATTGTGCGCGCCTCGCGCTCAGAAGAGTCGAGTCGCTCGCAAAACAGTCTGCGGCGCTTTCGTCGCGTCTCCTCTGGGACGCAACACTCTGAAAAAGATGTCTCAAGGTGCGTGCGTTGAGCTCGAGACGCGACTCTGGGTGGGTAAATATTTAGAGAGCAAACATTTCGATACCAGCAGGGATTACCGGAGAGCAGAAAACATGTCCCCCCCCCCTTTCGTCTTCTAAGAATCGTGACGCAGAATGCAGTGCATTTCATGCCAGCCTATTACAAGAAATGGTAACAACTCAAATTTGGCGGAAGGGAAATCAGATGTGGCTCGCCTATGAACATGTTGTCTTTTGTTGTGCAGAGATGGCAGCCTTTGTGTCTCCCCCCCCCCCCCCCAGACAAACGCGCACATTTGTTCTGCCGCTTCACCTTGTTGGATTTGTCGAAGGAACGGGCCAAAGGTGGATGTTCAGCGTGTCGAAGCGCGCAATGCCTCATTTACTTCACGTGGGCCCCTGATACGGGCGGAAGACTTGAGGCAGCCGTCCGTGGAAAACGCTCGCTGAGGCATTGCTTCTCCAAGACGCACATACGTCCAAGTCCAGGATCTGAATGGAGACCCAGACTTAAAAGACAGACGGGGTTTCTCTCGTAAAAAAAAAAAAAAAAAAAAAAAAATCACTTGGCTTTACCCCTGTGCTTCAAACAACGCATCACGTTTGCTGAATAGATTCATGCTGATTTGGCTGATGGGTGGCTGTTTTTGGGTGTTGTTTCTTCGTAAAATTTTTTTTTTTGTTTTCACTGCGCCAAGTCGCAATTGTCCCGGCCGGGTCTCTCAATGGAAAGTGGATGAATGATTAATAAGAGCGCAGGCTTTCTGCTGCTGATCCGCTGGACCTTAATAATGTAGGGCGCTTCCAGCGTTTTGGCGTCAGATGGAAATACCAGAATTCATCACAAAAATTTTTGGTAACGTGTTTATTTATTTTGCCGCTCATTCGTTTCACCAACCCCCCTCTAAAAATAGGTCCTCAGTGCAAAAGTCATCTTCATGCTTGCTAAGGGGAGGAACATTTTTCGATTGATTTCTGAAAAGTTTCCGTGGCCTTTCCAATGGGTTGCTGCGCTGAGGAATTTTGGAAATCACATCATCTTCAAGTGTGATGATTGGGAGCCCGAGATTTGTCGAATGGACTTTTTGAGCAAGATGTCATTGAGGGTTGAGGAAAAAAAACAACCCCCCCCCCCCAAAAGTTCTTGCCTTGTTTGCGATTGATGATTGATCGTTTCCGTTTTGGTTGTTCTTCTGCTGATATGCTGAATTTGGACTTGGTCCGCTGCCGTGTGGATGCACGCGACAGGCCGGGATGGAGCTAGAAAAGGGAGAAAGGGGAGGAAGAGAGGGACGGCGCCTTCCTCGGCTGAGCATGTATTGATCAGTAGCGGCTGGCCGGGGCTTGAAGCGCCGAAATGAAAACGCTCCATTCTGTTCTCTCGGATACAATTGACCTTTTGTTAATCCGGCCCGAAAAGCAGAACTGGCCAATTACCGTGCTCACACCAGACAAACTATCGAGGTTGTACGACAAAAGAAACCATATCATCAAACATCTTTTCTCAACGAAGACGAGTTCCCTCGGCGGCACTTTCCGCACACGAAGATTTAAAATGAGATTTGATTCTTTCCAATTTGCCGCTCGCAGTTCGTTGTTGTCACCCCCGACCAACCTGTGACTTGAAAACCGAGACACCGTTCGTACCAAACAACCAACCGGGATATTAAAGTCGCTAGTTCAGCTGATTTTTATTTATTTTTCTGGGGGACGACTGCGGCGCTCTGTTTAATGTCTTGTCATGGTTGACTGTTATTTACACCGGGGATAAACGAAGACAAGCGAGGGGGCTGACAGGAGAAATCCACTCCGGCAGTCATTAGGAGACGGAGGAGGTAGCGAACGAAGGCTCCGTGTGGTGTGTCTTGTGTCGAGCGCCGAATGGAAATGGGATTCATTAAGACACCTTCCACTCCGCCGCCGCCGCCGCCCGCATCATGAGAAATTGCTAATTGATTGTCATCGGTGACCAGCGCAATAAGATGTTCCCGGCCCGTTTTCCGCTTCATTACAGGCGCCTTTTGTTTTCCTGCTTTCGATACCTTTCCAGTATTTTCCTTGCGGCTGTGTGGTGGATTTCAGTTTCAAATCTTCTCACGCTCTATCAAAGGGGCCAGTCCAGCAAGGCCCGTCACGTTGTGATCAAGGTCTGACACAGTGTTGATGCGGGATTACCTGGCCGGGCATCCACAGCAATCACGGCCTGTCAGGTTTGCCCAAGCCCGTCCCTCGCGTTATCTCCTGTCCATCCTGTTTTTGTCCGCGGCGGCCGTCGCCAAACGGAATTTAAAATGTGTCATCATTAACGTGGCGGGGGGGGGGGTGGCCGCATCATTGGAGGTAGCCCGGCTTTTGAGATTCAATCAAGCTTCCGCAAGGACCGCTGTTAATATCAATACGGCAACCGCCGTTAGCATGCACGTTGAAGGCTAGTTTGAAAAGCGGATGCAAGAAATGTGCCTCGGCCAGCGCGGCCAAGGTTCACCCTTTCCTGTGGCACCAGCAGATTGTGTTCGTCTCAGCCTTTAATCATTTTCCCTCCCAATAGGTCATGTGCTGCCTTTTACCCGCCCCGGATTCCTCAGAGAACCCCATAACTGCCCCCCCCCACCCGTCTTCTTTCTCTCCCTTTTTTTCCTTTCTTTTCACAAGAAGCAACGATGACGGAGGCAAGGAAAAAGTTAGCCATAGTAAAGTTTGCGAACCTAAATCCTGATTCCAGCAAGTCTGTTTTTTTTTTTTTTTATGTGTGTTTTGTGTTCCTCTCAGAGCAACGGGGAGTGTGGAAGGGAGGCGGACCGAAGAGTAGGAGTGGAGGCAAGTGTCAGGGATGATTTGTGACAGAAGAGCAGCGGCTAAAGTGAAAGGGAAGGTTCACCGGGCGCCAGTGAGAGCCGCTATCTAGTACGTCGCGTCGCCCAACGTTCACTTCTATGGCGCCCGCCCCTCTCTGTCCAAATATGAATGAAAAAGTCATTCCAAAAAAATCTAGCGAATGGGTTCTCAACTATTTGGATCATTGATTCATTCAAATTGACCGCTTAGCACGTCACAGTGCAGAGGTGGTGCGTCAGAAGTCAGCTGGGGTCGACTTCAGCGCGACCCTCGTGAGGATTAAGCGGCCGCGATAACGGACGGACGGATGGATGTTTGCAAATTCTCACTATTCGCATTTGGTAAATAGTCGGGGCTCGCCGTCGTGCGGCAGTTTGGCACTGCCGTGCGTTTTGCATCCACTTGTCAGACTGTGTCTAATTAGAGCAGCGGCGCTTGAAAAGGCTTCTACATTTGGAGGTAATCAACTCCAAGCGAGCCAACCTGCAATCAGCAGTGCAGCCATTCCTCTTTGCCTTGATGGCTTTACACAACGCGGCCACCGCCGCCGTGTGTCTCCGTCTTATCTAATCGCGCCGCGCTTATGTCGTCAGAGAATTGCAGTGTGTGTGTGTGTGTCAATCTGTTTTTTTTTTTTTTTAATATTTTAGGAGAGGATTTCTTTTATAACCTTCAATTGAAATATTGTTATTTTTAAACAGCTCATATAAGTTAAAAATATCAATAATTAACATTTTTTATTTCAGCCATTTCCAATTCAGGAAGTAGTCTAAGCCCTCGACAGCCTCTGTCTGGCACTGACCCATGTGTTGTGTTTACCTTCACGTCCGTCTTTCATCACGCTCATTCTTTCATCAAGCTCTTTTTTTTTTTTTTTTTTTTTTTTCCCCTGCCAGGGCATTCCAAAAAAAAGTCTCCCTTAATTCGATAACAAGCGTGTGTATTTCACATATGCACTCCGCCAGCAGCCAGCCGTTCAATTACTGCTTGTGCTTTCCCACTGCCAGTCATTCCCTTCACTCAAGTGTGCGCCGCTGAGCCGTGTTATTGTGCTTAAACAAATCAATTCTCTTGCCGTTTTTTTTTTTTTTTTTTTCTATCTCGTGTTATTATAAACTGTTTGCTGCTTGGAGAGGATTGATCCCCCCCCACCCCCCAGTTCCCCGGCACTTGCCCGGGAAAAGCTGTTGATGAATAGCACTGAGCTGTCTGGTGGGGGGAGTCTGGCTTTAAAAAGCAGGCGTCCTGTGCAGCTCGACCCTGTTGAGCCACCCCCCCAGTATCCCTCTCCACTTTCTTTTTCAACACGGGAGGGGGGCAAAAAACGGCCACAATAATAATAAGAAATTATATATTGGACTCAAGGGAGTTCTGCTTGTTTTTGGTGATTTTTTTTTTGTATTTTATTTTCTTAATATATATTGAGCTTTTAGCCTTGTCCTCTCAACCGCAACCTCGAGCCGAGTTGATCCGCTTGGATGGATTTTTACAGGCTTTGACGTCTGATGTGCTATTCCAAACAGGCTGCGACTCAAGCGGGAAATAGTCATCGAAATACAACGGATAAAAAACGCGCCCGACATGTATTTCTGACAGAATGCAAAACTCAAGTGGGGTTCAGTGGCAGAAATGCCAGGGCGAGTAGATGCAATTGAGACTCAAATTGGACTTGATCAAACACATTTTCTTAATAGGTTGCAAACCAAGTGCTAAGTAGTTGTGAAAATGTTGGCGGGGGGAAAAAGGCAAACGGCACGTCTCGTATTTCCGACAAGATGCTCCGGTCTTGTTAACCGTTTTAAGCCTCGGCGGAGGTCTACATTTTAACTTTATTTTTGTTTAACTGAGCTTTTTTTTCCTTCTCCATAGGACCAGAAAACTCGGGGTGCTGGGGGTGTTTCTCCTGCCGCTGTGTGGATGGGTGGGGGGGGTCTTCCGAGGTGAAGAGTCGAGGATTCACGTCAACAAGGGTGAGTTGTTGTTTTGTTTTGGGGGTTTTTTCGGTTGGGGTCCGTGCCGGGGGCATCCTGCTGAGGCGTGTGGCTGTATTTTAAGTTAGAATGAAGTAATTGTGTACAATTGTGTTGTTGCTGGTCAAAATTTGTGTTTTGCCCCTGGGGGGTGGTGCAAACATATTGCTTCATTGCGCCATTATTTGATCACATGAAATACATTTATTATAATTGTTTGGAGCGTAGTAGCTAGCTAGCACTGACCGACAGCTGATGGCGGTCGGCTTGACGGTGAACAGCACCTTGATGGAAGATTCTCGGAGAGTCTCGACAATCGTCGCAAATTGAGCATCAACAGGATGTATGAACGTTCAAAAAAAAAAAAAAAAAGACGCTGTGTGAAAAGGACTGTAATTGGTATTGGTTAGTCCATTGTATGATACAATACCACCAATGGCTTCATGGATTAAGAATTGGGCCATCCAGAGCGTAGATGAGAGTTAATCTTGATTGCTGCTGAGAAATAATTCACTTGCGCTGGCAAACATCTGCCAGAGTGGGATAAAGCAAAACGATTATTGTGGAAAATGTACTGCAAGGTAGTTCAGACGAGATGTCTGTCCCCCCACCCCCCCTATTTTTGTCGACGGACGGTTGCAGTCTGTGAAATTCTGTCTCCGGAAAATGAATCATGTGCCCGACTGTGATTAATGACTATTTGCCTGTTTTTTTTCCGGTCCGGTTTCAAGTTCTGTTCCTTAACTGCGCTTTTATATTCCCTGGAGAATTGAGCACACAGAATTTGAAACACTGAATTTTGTTCTCCTTGGGGGCCACTGGAACTACGACTGTTATGACTACTGTTGTAATTTTTTTCAAATATGTGAAGCATGTTGAATGAATAACGCTGCCTTGCCTTAGCTTGCTTTTATGATCTACACTCTATCCATGGGTCATCTTCAAAAAAAAAATCGATTATCAGTATTCGCCATACGAAGCAGGAAATGATCCGTTTTTGGAATCGGTTGAAAAATTCCCATATGGCAGGTCACGAGTCCGTTGTGGAGCTCTCATGGTTGCTCTGAAGCCGTTTGCCTTTACCGTTGTGCACGTTTGTTTTTCGTGTTATGCAAGAAGCGTGTTTCCGTGGGCCGCCACACCAAAAGCAAACAAATATCAACAAAGCTGTGGCAACACTGAAGTCCTTTTCATTGTTCGTGATTTTTATTATTTTTTTTTTTTTCCCCCATATGAGTTGACAATATTTGGTTGTCTCTCGACTGGCTGCAGCATTACTATGGCTTAAAATTTGACAACCTCAATCGCTTTTTGAAAAGAGGACGTCAGGCAATGGACGCTTCGGCATGGGAGACATTGACGCATATGAAGCCAAGGTGGCACAAAAGAAAAAAGGTTTTGCCATCCCTTTGTGACCCCCCCCCCCACCTTAGATGTTAGTCCCCTCATTTCAAGGCAGAGTGGATTTTTGCACCAGATTCTCCTTGTAAATGTAACTTTCGAGCTTTTAGTGGCGCATGACTTCATCTGTTATTCATGACCCCCCCCATCCCCCCCCCCCTTTAGCTCTGCGAGTGGCATTTGATGTCATTGATGACGTCTGAAGCCTTGCAGGCTGTTTGTCGACGGCAGCGGTGTGTACGCCGAATGAATAATTGCTTTCCTCTGTCACATGTGAGGGACAGACATTCTGTGAAAGGAAAACGTTGGGGTGGGGGCGGGGGGAGGGAGCTCAAAATCCCCTTCCTGTCAGTGGTCTCGCTCTTTCTTTTCTGTTCTGGTGAGATCTGGAACTGATAAGTACGAGAGGCCTCTGGTAAGCGAACAGGAAGGATAGAGGGTCCGGCCTTGGAGCCCCACCCCCCTCCCCCCTCCCTCCACACACATGTCCACCTCCGCTGCACAAACAAAAGCAGCGGGGCCTGCCACCATACTTGAGGTTGCAAAACATCCAAGGCTCGCTATTATTGTTACGACGAGGGTTTTCCACTCCGGGGCTGATAGGCAAAGTCAAGTGAAAGTCCTGCGTCGTCCGTCGCACGAGCCCACAGGCTGTCAGTCAGCGCGAAGGATCAAAGGCAGACTGCTAGAATGTTCCAGAACACGACTCGTCATCCCTTTGGCGCCGAGGAACACCTCAAAAAAAAAAATAAAAAAATCTCGTTCACAAAAGGGCCTCCGTCGTGAGCAACATGAGTGGAGTTGGCTCTGAAGTGTTCATCCAAAACGAGATGAGTGTAATTAAACCTGATTCACTGGAACAACCATCTTCAAAACAATGGCCGCCGTTTTGGAACACTTTGATCTTTCACGACCTACAGAATATTCTGTTCTGTGACAGCGTAAGCACCGGACCTCCAAAAAGAAACTATTTTATTTTATTTTTTTTAGCTTTTCCCACCCTTTAGCCATCCGTATCGGCTTGATTCCACCAGTTTCTGACCAAAACGTGGAGAAAAGAAGCTATTATGTGGGCGGGGGAGGGAATTGACTTTGACGGTAGATTTGATGACAACTCCAACAGAACAAAAAAAAAGACCGCAAAATGGTTTCGGGTGGCAGCAAATTAATCTCTTGACAGATATAACGACGAAACATGCCAATAGAGAAGCCGACTCGCGGCATGCTCCACGTTGAACGTCGGCGGCTTCTTCTTTCATGCCGTTTGCCATCCGCTCCAAGAACTGCGGCAGCTTTTCTAACGATTGCAACACTTCGCTTTCTTCGACCTATTTATAGCATACTTCGACATACTGTGTTTGAGTGTCAGGTGCCCACACTTGCCCCGACTTCCAACATGTTGTCATTTTCTCTCCCCACTCCATCGACGGGACAAGCCGAGCCCCCCCCCCCCCCCCTCGGCCGGTTTTAGGGCGGTGTTCCCTCAGCGAGAAAGGGCAAGATGCCAACGCCATCCAGGGTGACAGCGAAATTATTAGCCTATTAGTCACCGCCGAGGGAGAGAGCCGGATGAGCATGGCATCCATCAAATCTTTTTTTTTTTTTTTTTTATGTGTGTGTGTGTGTGTGTGTGTGTCGAGATAGGCTGCCCTGAACTGGGGCCCGGGAATCCTGTAAGGCTCTCCCACTGATGGAGGAGCTGCGAGGTCGAGGTCAGGGAGCAGACTCCGAGCCATCGCGGCGCTGGAGAGGGATTGTTAAAATAATTCCTTGCTTTTTAGGAGGGGTGGGGGGGATTTTTATTTTTTTTTTTTACTTTTTTAACATCAACAGGGATAATGTTGCTCGGTCAATTTGATGTATTTGTTTTAAGAGCAGAAATTTGTGGCCACGAATTTTACAAAATCCGTAGCACCGACGTTAGCTTGCGGGCTAACCGTCAGGTTTGGCCAAAAGAGTCAACAACAAGCCGACTCAACATTTTGTAGCCGCCTTTGAGGAAATGTTTTTGAGGTTTGTTTCCCAGTCTGCCCCTTAACAAGCGTCTCCTTGCTCCTGCGATCTCCTCTCGACAACTAGCTGTCGATTTATCGTCCTCACCCACGCGATCCGCTGGATTCATTTTCATCAAAAAAAACCTGCCGGCGGCGCAACCCTCAACAAAACCGGTTTGTCTCATTGTTTTGAGTTGCGGTAAAATGGCAACTTTTTCTGCTCATGTGAGGACGTGATTCTCGGAATGTTCCGTCTTTTTCTTGTAAAACGCTAGACGACTTTCAGAAAATTCCCGCTCGATTCTTGTTCAATGTTGAGTAACTTCTCACATAATTGCAACCGTTGTTGGGTTTTTTTTTTCCGCAAGGGTAGAATGTTTCAGATTGATGTGAAAAGAACAACTGCTTTGTTGTTGGACTTCCAGTTTATTCTCCTGAAATTCCAAGTTCATTTTGTAAAATCCCGAATAGCGGCGCTGTAATTGATCCGCCACCCATTGTGATCGGCTGACAATCGGCACATGCCGATCTCACTCGCGTATCGGTATTTCTGACTTGTTTGACAGTTGATGTTCCACCTTTTTCTCGGAATATAAATTCTCAGTGTAAATACGACTCTCTTCAAGTCGGCGCCTGTTCAGTCTAATCCCACGGCAATTAGGCTATGATTTCCGTTTTTTTTTTTTTTTTTTTTTGGAGAGGCACAAGTCAAGCACATAAAAGGGCAAACAGCCATTGAAAGGTGATCTGCTCTTGACTTCATTAGTGCTCAGCTTGCTCCTGTTATGCAAAGAGTCCCCAGGTGCATGAAAGATTCATGGCCACCCCGCTGGCCGCTTCCTGCTTTCCGCCTTTCTGCCCCCCCCCATCCAGGACACTCGCTCAAACGCTGCTGTCAGTTGCACTCACTTACACTTGGCTACTGTCGGCAGCTCTTGGGGCTGCTTGCCTGGGGTGTGTGTGTGTGTGTGTGTGTGTGTGTGTGTGTGTATTTAAAAACAGCTGTTTTGGCCTCCCAATGCACCATCTGGATCCGAAGCAGATTGAAGATTTCTTGTGTCACGTTTGTAGTGAGGCCACTTGTCCGGTCCAAGACACAGATTGTCTTGAATTCATGACACCATGTCATGTAATGTGACATCTGGACAGTCGTGAACGACAAAAAAAAAAAAAAAGGAGGGGGGGCGGTGGTGGGTCTTGTCAAAAAGTACCTTGTGACTGCTCATCACAGCGTCGTAACGCCACATCACGATACATCGTGAAAGCGGGCGCGGCATCAGGACGTGAACGGAGACGCGCCCGTGCGAAAAGCGTTGCCGCCTTTTGTCGGCCGCTCGTGTGAGACAGCTTGGTCACATGTGCTGGGCCGGCCCTCTGCCTCGAGCTAGCGCACGGCAGCTGACTGCCCTGATTCACAGGCGACGCCGCTTTTGTCTTAGCGAGGCGCCACTCACAATGGGCCGAGTCACAAGAGTCCACAATTTTCTCATTGGCCTTACTAGAAATCTTATGTTTGACGTCTTTGTCACCGCGCATGTTCGCGTGACGCTCTTCTTCTTCCTTTATGGGAATTGTTCATGTTGGATTCTCATCTGTGTTTGCTTC